CTTTCTCTCCTCCTCACGCTTGACCTTCTCCTCGGCCAGAACACGTCTGCGCTCCTCTTCCCGGGCCACTCTCTCCTCCTCTTCGCGCTGGATACGCTCTTCCTCCTCCTTGCGACGGCGCTCCTCCTCCTCGCGCTCGGCCTTCTCACGGCGGCGACGCTCCTGGACTTCCTTGACGCGCTGCTTCTTCTTGGCCTCGAACTCACGCTCAGCGGCCTTGCGACGCTTCTCGAACTCCTCGTGGCGCTTCTCGGAGACCTCCTTGCGGAAGCTGTTGAACTGGGGCACCAGGCGGCTGAGACGGTGCTTGAGGGCAACAGCCTCCTTGTGCTTGTCTTCGGCCTCCTTGAGGGTCTCGGCCTTCTGGGCCTCGTAGAACTCCATATCTTGCTTCTTCTGAGCCTCGTAGTCCTCGGGAATGTGCTTGAGTTCCTCACGACGGAACGCACGCTCCAAGTGATCAATACGCTTGGCGGTGGTGCGGACACGATCGTTGAGCTCGTTCTTCTCCTTCTCCAGCTGAGCCAGCTTCATGGCACGGAGGCGGTTGGCATCCAGCTCGGTCAGGTCGAGCTCGCTGATGTCAATGCCCTTGACACCGCTCTTCAGCTCCTCCAGCTGCTTCTTGAGCTCCTGCTGGCGGATGCGCTCCTGCTCATCCTGAATGCGCTTCTTCTCACGCTCGCGCTGCTCGTCAGCCAGACGCTGCTTCTCAGCCTCCTGGAGCTGCTGGGTGCGGATGCGCTTGCGGGTCTCCTCCTCGCGCTGCTTGCGCTGCAGAGCATCGGTGGCAGCCTCCTTCTTCTTCTCGATGATAACACGGCGAGCCAGAGTCTCCTCGTGCTCCTTGGCAGCACCGGCCGCAGCACGGGCAAGAGCAGCGCGCTTGGCCTCCAAGCGAGATTCGCTGTAGGAGGGGTCGACGTACATGCAGGTGACGTGGAGGGTCTTAGCCAGGCGAGTAAGCTGCAGGCGAGCAATCTCGGCAGGGGTGTTCTGAAGACGCTGGACGGAGCCGACCTCGCTCTCAGCAGAACCAGCGGCGCTGCCGGAGTGCAGGGCCTTGGCGGAGGAGAAGACATCGGTGTCGAAGGTGAGAACACCAGAGGTGTGGTCGACGCGGATGGCCAGGTCGCCCTTCTTGCAACCGTTCATGATGAACTTCTCGATCATAGAGGGAGTGATCTGGAAGGGGTCGGGGAACTGAGCCAGCTCGTAAACGAACTTGAGCTCGACGGACTCGTAGACCTGGGACAGCTGCTGGAAGAGACGGGTGAGGATGACCTGCTGCAGGGGCAGGACGTACTTCTCCATCTCGGGGTCGGCACCGATCTGCTTGAGGATGGGGGTGATCTTCTTGCAAATGGACAGAGGGTGGAAGTCAACCTCCAGGATGTTGTACAAGTCGCGGATCTCAGGGCGGACGCGCTTCAGCAGACCCTTGTTCAAGGCATCCTTGAAGAGAATGGCACGAGAGGGAGCCTGAGCCATACCGAGCAGGTTGGTGAGGCGAGTGTTCTTGTTCTTACGGGCCTCATCGACGTCAACGAGAGCACCGCGGGAGCGGGAAGTGCTGATGACAGGGATGGAGAGGGCCGACAGCAGGACGAAAGAAGCAGCCTTGGTCATGTCAGCCTCGCTGACGGAGGGGTTCTCCTTCTTGGTGCTCTGACCAGCGGCAAGGGCCGCGGCGGACTGGCGGAGCAGGTTGTAGTAGCGACTCCAGGCGGCGGCGTGGAAGAGGTAGTTCTCGCTGACGAGGAAGATGCGGGCCAGCTTCTCGTAGTAGTTGGCCATCATGACGTTCTTGGCGGGACGCTTAGACAGGCTCAGCAGGGTGTGGATGTCCTCGATGCTGCGGAAAGCCTCCTGCCAGAGCTCAAGCTCAACGGCAACGTTCAGCTGCTGGAAGCGAGTATCCAAGTGACGCTGGAGGGTGTCGGGATCGCTGAGGTTGATGGCGTGCATCTGAGTGGAGTACTTGGCGGCGTTCTGGACATGGTTGCGGAGAAGCTCACACAGACGGCGGAACTCGGTCTTGCGGGTGTACTTGAGACAGAACTGGAAGGCCTGCAGAGCGGTGGTCTGGTACATCACCTCCAGACGAGCGTTGTTCTTGAGGATCTCCAGCACGGTGCGATAGGTTTCCCAGAGGAACTTGAGCCATGGGGTGACGACGGCGCGGTCGGTACGGTCGCGGGACTGTTCCCCGGAGACGGTGGCCAGCAGAATGGTCTCGGGGGTTTCGATAGCCTCCAGATCGTCGACGTTGGAGGAGGGAGCCGCGGATTCCAGGGAAGACTGGATCTCGTCGGCCTTGGCCTGAGCCTCGGTGACCTTCTTCTCGGCGAGCTCGATGAACTTCTTCAAGACCACCTATACAACACCCAAAAAAATTTCCCCCTTCAGTCAGTCTTTGGCCTAGTGGTAGATACGACAGGCGATCCTACCTCGATGGTGCCGACGTTGGTGTTCTGGGCGATGTTCTTGTACTGGTAAAGACCATCCTTGGCGGACTTGCCCTTGCGGAGATCGACACACAGCTCAACGAAGAGGAGCATGACGGGCTCGAGCGAGACGATGGGAGTGCTGCGCGTTCTCTTGGAGGTGACATGTTCGTGAAGGACGTTGAGGGCGGCGGGGGCCTGACCCACGGCGATGAGTTCCTGAGCCCTCTACAGACGACCAACCGTTAGTTGATATTCCATCACTGATTCCAATCATCCTCGTCATCTTCCTTTGTCCCGTCTGGTCCTTTTCTTCATTTGTTTTCCCGAGCCAAGATTGTCTCCGACCTCTTCCCGGTTGACAGCGCGTACCTTGAGGACATTTTCAGGCTTGATATGGGGTGGCGGCGGCATGATGGGCGATGTAGTAGGTGAGAAACACGATCAGTTGTTGATAGATGTAAGAAAGGTGGATCGCACAACGACGGGCGGGCAGCAGAGGTCGAGGGCGATAAAAGCCTGAGGTGAAAAAGGCTGCCACGCGACGGTCGGCGAAATGACCCAAGACGACACAAGCCGGTGGGAAATATGGGGGGGGGGGAGGAGGAGGGAGGAGGAGGAGAGGGAGGACAAGACAGAGGCTGTGGTTGAGGGCCGTCGTTGTGCGAGAGCCGGCGAAAAAAACCAAGATTTGCCCACTTTGGGTTAAGCGACTGGGACTGCTGAAATCACGTGATCAAATCCCCAAGCGCCCGCCGCTATCGAGACGCGCTCTACATCCTACGACAGTGTGCTAGTTACGATTGTATATTCTTCTACCATGCGAATCATAAGGATAATTTGTAATGCCCTTGATAAGAGTGTTTGGCATAGTGGTGGTAGTGGTGATAACAATGGTGGTGGTGGTGGAGGCTCATCGAGCCGCGTCCTCCACAGCCTGGGCCACCCGCATTCTTCCTAGAGCTCGAACAATCATAATAGGATGAATGGATGAATGGAGCGGAACCCATGGGAGGGAGGCACAGGAGTGTGTGAACTGAGTACTCGTATTTTGTACTCGAGAAACTTCCTCATCCTTTGTGTCGACCGAGCAGGAGCTCCGATCGACAGAGCGCCAGCTGGTACGGTCGCCAGTCGCCATCAGAGCTATCAAGCTTTCAGGATTGATGTGTCTGTCCATTGATCAGTCTGTGCAGCGGATTAACTGTCAAGCCCCCAGCTGCACGTGAGGCTCAGACTCATACGTCCGATTGATGACCCCATCATGGCATGAGGATCCGATGATCGTGATTTGGATTTGGTTCAGTGATCAGTGATCAGTAGTGATCAGGGACAAGAGCTGGAGCATGACGAAGTGGGTGTCTCTGGTCTGGTACCTCATTTTCGTCGGTTCTTGCTTCAGGGGTGAAGGAGGGTAAGAAGAGGAAAAAAAGAGGAGCCAAACCAGACTAGACGGGAAATTAGATTCAACCGCGCCGTTTGGGTTCCGAATTATAGAAACACCAGAAACACCAGAAACACTCCATCACCACCACCAATTGTTTAATTGTTCGATTGAAATTTTTGGTTTCTCGAAGTGATTGTCTCTCATGCCTGTTGGGGGTCTTGTTTGTTAAGCGCTAGGTAAAATCGCGGTAGTGAGTCGTAAGATTGGCAGGATGGATGGTGAATAGAGTACGTTATTATTCATATTCAAGATGGATAAATTATCCCCTCCTCCCCTATTAATACTATGTTGAAATGGGTGTAGCTCCAAACTTCCTTCCCTTTTTTCCCTCTTTGCCCTCTTTTTCCCCCTCTCCACTTCGTCCACTTCCTGCTTGTTCTCCTTCCCCGAGCTTTGTTCCCAAAGTCCCAAATTGCCCACCAGCGAACTGACTAGCAATTGAACTACTACTAACTAAACCTCTCTTCTCTCCCTCCCTCTCTCTCTTCTTCTTACCTTACCTCTTCTTACTTACTCTTCCGTCTTTCCCTTCCCTTCTTTTCCTTCTCTTCCCTCTTTTCTTCCCCGTTGGATCGTCGTCCCCTCTGCTTTCCCTCCCACCCTTACAGTTCTTGTCGACTCTCTCTGGCTTGTCTGTCTGTCTGCTGTCTTATCTTCGCTTCTCTTCCCCCACTCTCCACACCACCCCCTCCCGCGAAGCTCGCTCATTAAATCTCCTGCTGCTACTGCCAGTGCTTGGTGGTCTGCCTCTCTCCTTATTCCGCACAGCCTCCCACTATTACTACCACCACCACCACCACCACCACCACTCCTCCTCCTCATCCTCATCCTTCCGTCTTTCTTCCTCTCCCCTTACAGCTGCTGCACCGCGCCGACCGCAAACCTTAACAGCGACTCCGACCTCTCACTTCCGGCTGCCATTCGCAAATCCCACCACTACTCTATCGATCCCTCATTCCATCGCTCCGTCTTGTCCTTTGTCAGCGCGAGTCCCATTCGACTGATCAGACCCTCGACTATTGCCGGAGTCCGTCTCTTGATCGCTCGCCCAGTTCACATTTCCGACCGACCGATTTGAAACATTAAGCCTCCCTCAATCTGTCAAAATGCCAGCCTACGAACTCCGATCCGGTGGTGATGTCAAGAACAAGAAGCAAAGTGTGGCCGATCTCAAGTACCGTCGCCTGACAGAGCTCAATGCCCGTCTAAAGGAGGATCTCGACCGTCCCCGCGTCAAGGTCTCCGAAGCCGCCTTGTCGTACGCCTTTCCCTGCCCTTTTCTTTCCTTCCCCTCCCCAAACCCGACCGCAAGAAGGGCCCCCACACCGTGAGCATGACAAATCACTAACCACAATCGCATTCCACAGTCTGATTAATTACTGCAACAACACCCGCGACTTTATGGTACCATCCGTATGGGGTCAGGTATGCGATCTACTCTCATGCGGCATTCGATTTGGCAAATTGGCACGGTCGCTAACTACAGCGCGCGCAGGTCGACAAGCGGGAAGACCCATACGCCCCTCAGCAGCAGGGCGGCTGCTGCACAGTCATGTAATGGAACCCATGACTGTCAATAATCTCTATCGACTCTGAACTCTCAACCCGCCGATCGATGGCCGACTTACGGCGTTCTCTTTTTCTTTAATATCCCCTCCTGCGATGACTTTTTTTTTCTACCTTCTGCTCGACTATTTAATTCATCTTCACCGTCACCCTATCATCGACTTAAAATGTGGACCTAATCTGCGACTTTGCTTGGATGCCGGTCGAGTGCGACAAATGACAACCAACGACAAAGACGGAAGGAGGACCGATACTTCAATGCGCGCGTATGCACTGTTCTCGACATCCGACCGGCCGACACAACCAAGCCAAATCACAATCAGATCTATTAGTCAGGGTGTCTTTTTCTAAATACTTTTTGTCGGTCATCTATACTCAGCCAGCTCGACATATTTTCCGTTCCCATTGCGATTTTTTTTCCATCAGTGAATTTTTATTGGATCCATATTTCCTATGTTCAGCCGTGAGATTTTCCATGACGGGTTTAGGAGGAGTTGCATGCAAGGCCAAAAAAAAGAAGCAAAAGCCGGGATTGACAGCGGCAGTGGGAGTGAGCCTGTTTCTTGTAATATAGATTTGCAGGGCTAGTTAATGAGTATTACTGTAGTGTGAGATGGGTTTTAGTATATTTGACATGACAGTTCTAGAGTATGAAATCTCCGATTTCATGCAGTAGATTGAGCTACACTCCACCCGCTGACATCATCAATTACTAGTTAGTTCATCATCCTCCCACTGCATCCACCTACTCTAACCACCACACTTCATCCCGATATCCTCACCCAACCCTCTATCTCACCAAAACCATAATTCCCCCGCAAAGAGAACCCAAAACGAGAGAAGAGAAGATTAAGAAAAATGATCTCCCTCCCACAACACACCCCCACCCCCAACGCCAGCTCCGTCCCCCAAGACCAACTCACCACAGCCGCCAATCCCACCGCAACCCCGGACTCTGCACCGCAGCAGCAGCACCACCACCACCAAGGCCAACAACTGCACCTGCACCACCCCCGCCTAACAATCCAATACTGCACGCAGTGCAAATGGATGCTCCGCGCCGCATACGTACGCCCTCCCTAACCCTCTCACCCGTACCCTCACCCTCACCCTTCCACCCCACGTCTCAAATTCCCGAACAACCGCTAACCTGATTGATCCCCGGGCGGTGATCCCCGGGGAATGTTGGGGAACAGTTCGCGCAGGAACTCCTCTCGACGTTCTCGACGCAGCTGGGCGAGGTGGCGCTGCAGCCGGCGACGGGGGGTGTCTTCACGGTGACGCTGTATCATCGGCGCGGGTGGGCGGGGGAGGAGGCAGAGGGGAACGGACAGGCCGATACAATCACCGAGACGGTGCTGTGGGATCGGAAGCGGGATGGCGGGTTTCCTGGTACGTTTTTTTTTCTTGCCTTCCCTTTCCCCCATGGCGGGGATGTGTTGATCTACCCTCACGGGGGATGGATGGATGAACTGTTAGCTGGAGACTGACAACCTTCAAGAAGTCAAGGTGCTTAAATCCCTCGTGCGGAATGTGGTGGATCCCGGGCGGGATTTGGGACATACCGATCGGGCATTGAGGAAGGCCCGCGAGCTGGGGCAGGAGCAGCAACAAGAAGAAACTCAGGAAAAGGAGAAGTGTGAGGAATGTCAATAGACCAATCTATATCATATATAAGTAGTATCAGAGTCTCAATCAATTCGGAAAAAGGTATAACGGCAAGAAAGTGGAAAGTAAACCAATCGAGGAATGAATATCCATTGTCATGCAATACAATAAAGAGCACAAGTCCTCCCTCCTCCTCCTTATAAACGCCATCTCACGCCCCCGACTCTAATGGTGCCCCAAATATCCATGAGCCTGTGTCCTCTTGTATAATATAAAAACATAAATAAATGTAGAAAAAAAAAGATTTGGTCCAGACAATGGTCAGAAGTAACAGAAAAGAAATGTTAAGTGAAGGCAGTTCGCAAGGGTTTACACTAAGTACCCTCGCATGCCAGCACCGGAAGGCACAGGTCCCTCCAATACTAGCATATCGTCAAGATCGTCAAATATCGGGGGGTCACGAACCCAAGCCTCTGTGCAAGCAGAGACACTGAGCCCAACCGCCCCGTATCACCAATCCGTGTCGTCAAATCATGCAATCCATCGTAAATCCAAAGTCATCAGCTGAATGTCACCGTATGCCCATAACCCAAGTTCCCCCCTGATTTTCCATGAACACCTTGAAATCAAATCGCAGAATAACGCCAAAGAAGCAGAAGATCGTGTCAGGTCTCGCCACTCAGCTCGTGCTGGTGCGAATGATGCGGCTTGCGTCGCCAGAATGCCAGTCGGAGACGACTCCGTCGTTTTACCAGTTTGAAGGGGCCCGAGTGACGCTCGCCAGGCTCGCCCCAAGGACGACCTCGTCCATCTTGTTTGGAGCTGCCCGCGGTCGTCGTGGATTGCCCAGAGCTGCCGGTGCCATTGCCCGCAGGCGATCCCAAGTGCTTGCTCCCAGCGTCGTACGTGTGTGGGTCAGATGCCCGACGGTTGACCGGGTAGACGGTACCGGTAGACTCATGATTGGAAGTCGCAGGTCGGATACTGGCCCGGCTCCACTCTTCATTGTCGCTCCGGCTGACACTTTCCCGAGCAAATCCTTTCTCGTCACTGTCCACCGTCAGGAAGCTGGTCGCATTGGTAGCCGGAGAGATCGGGGTCATGTTGTTGCTGTAGGTGCTGACGCTGTGGGTCCGAGTGCAGCTGTTCCGTTGAGAGCTCGATAGGCCAGACGTGCGTCCAGATGAGCCAGTGTTCGCATGGCGACGGCGACACCCGGTAGGGGCTTGTCGTGAACTGCTGGGTCGTTCCGCCACGCCTTCAATCGAGCTGTTGCGGGCACTAGATGGTCCGGACGCCCCGCCATTCGTGGCGGACGAATTAGCCAGGACAACTGTGGCCATCATGGTCGGGTCGGTCGACGAGCGGTTTGTGTCCGAGGCTCCGTCGAATGTCTCACTCGCCCGTGCTGAAGGCGTGGTGGAGAGGTCATGGCTACCGGTGCGTGATTCTCCGGGAGTGGACACCGTTGCATGATCGGGCACAACACCGGAGGATTTGCGTGAGTCTATCTCCGTTGGGAATAGACTGCCTGTGATGTCCATAGACGGACCAGGTGTATCCGGTGATACCACGGGGCTGATGTTGTTCTCATTGTAGTCACTGGGTGGTTCATCCGAGTTCACGGGCGAGTGCACGGCCCCGAAGTAGTCGTCCGGAGCGGACCGCGGGGTAGGTTCGCTGGTAGGAAAGGCGGGCTTGACCAGAGCGTCAGGGCCCGGGGTTGCCACCGGGGCGCGCATACCCTTGAGACTTCGAATTGGACTCTGCGTGCGCGGCGAAACCACCTCATCTGGACGCAAATCTAATAACAGTGTTTGTCGGCTCTTCTCTCGATCGGCAAGCATATGCCATCTGAACTGGTTTCCTCGAATATGGTCCACCGTAAATTTCAAGTCGGGAAGGATATCCGATACCCCCTCGAACAGAGGTAGCGCAAAGATCGACATGAAGCCAATCTGGCCGGTGGCGAGTTTGTAGATGTTCCCGAGCTCTGGGGGCCCGCCAAATAAAGCAGTCTCCATTCCCACCTCTTTCTCCATTTCGCCCTGATTGGCGAATTCCTCCTGTAGAATCTGGGTCCACTTTTCTGCAACATCCCACGGCCGCGCCACATTGCTGATGTCGGCACATTTGATCAGCAGACCGCACACGAGGGTCTTGTAAAGCTCCAGATCTTGCGGCTTCCACCCGTCCGTGGTGCAATCATTCTCATGAAACCGCTCTTGCAGCGACCCTAATCGTTCCATGAACTTCTGGTGAACGCCCATATCCGTTGCTAGGATGGAGCTGATCAGCAATTTGCGGAGCTGGCGATCTTTGAAAGCGGCTGGCCAGTACCGACGCAGGATTTGGGAAAAGGCGGCGCAGTGAAACGCCTCCAAGACGGAGTTGTCGTTATAGAGTTGAGCCAAGGGGGCATTCAGCTTGACCAAGAAAAAGTTGTTTACGCCCGGGTGACCGACATCGTGACCAATCGCAGAAATCAGCAAGGTCAGGGTATCAAACGGCATGAGCAGGGCTGCAATCGGGCACTTGTCGCCCGATGCCGGGCCGACCGATCGATAAGGAGGCAGCGCGCCTATATGGAGCAAAAAGCAGAAGACGGACTGCAGAACGTCTATGGCATGGCGGAAATTGTGGTATAGCACGAAGGAATTATAGGAGGCTCGGCAGGCAAGGAGGAACGTCCGAAGTTCACCTAGAGAAGTTCATTGATCAGCTGGCAGGGCTTTTTGACAAATCTGCAGGAAAAGGCCATGCACTTACCCGGTGTCAGTTGCCACTTTCCCAAGTCAGGCACGCTTAAAGCATGTTGAAGCATCTCAAAGGCTGCCAGGACCAACTCATCGTCAGAGAACCCGTGAGCGGTGAAGCTCCATTGTCCGATTTGTTCTCTAACGAGTTCTGCGCGCTCTGCGCGTACATCTAACTCGCGGTCCTGAAACTCTTCAATGACCTCTTCTGGATTGCAAATGCCTTTCATAAGCTTGGAAACCATCGCCTCTCGCAGGTAAGCATAAGGCTGCTCATCGTGCACCCCCACCCACGAGTACTTTCGCGTTTTCTTCCTCGACAGGAAGCGCGCGGATTCTCGCAAGGCAGTTTTACGGGTCCGGTAAGCATGGACAACCAGAGCTTGCGCTCGACAGCTGTCCAGCGGGGTTACGAGGACGTCGACAGCACCGGCATCCAGACATTTGGAAATGTGTTGCGGGTCGGGAAGGGTGGATATACTAGTTGGTTGATCGCTAGGGGCACTGGTAAGGTCGCCGGACGGAGGGCGCAGGATGGCAACAGGCACGATCAAATTGGGCAAATCCTGCACTTGGATGTCGGTTGATAATCCGGACAGCAATTTCAGATCATATGCCCCCTCCCAGTTCGAGGAAAAGGTGAATCCACGGCGCAGCGACGCGGGCGAGGGAGGCGATACGTCTGCCCACGAGCCACGACTCGCTCGGCGGCGATGTAGGGTCGGTTCTTCTCCGTGCAGATCTATGTCGAAAAATGCAAAAATCGGCATATATTTGCTACCCGCGCCGTCGCTCAACTCGGCTAGTTTCGTTGCGATCGAGGCGCCGGCTTGACAGAGATAGATACGTTTACAAACCCCCAACAGCACTCGGACGTCCGATCGAAGCGACTCCGGTTCTTCGAGCAGGAGGGCTTGCGCATCCGGGTCCGTTACAGGGTCCAGGGTGTTGTGATCAACCCATCGCTCCGACCTGACGCGATGATCGATGTAAATGGCAGAACAGTCAATGCGATCCATGGTGTCGTTAGGTATCGTGGTGCCCATCATCCAGAGTCTCGGCTTCGAGGGTCAGGTCTCGGTGTAGTCGCAGGAATGAGAAAAAGGGAGGAAGATGTAGCGAAGCCGATCCAGACTTGAGCTCATATGGTAGATGTGAACTGCGAATGGGGGGGATGGTGGTAATAGAGGTGGGAGAGGGGATCTCGAGGCGAAACGAACGGCCGGAAGACTGAGATGAATGAAGCGAAGGAACGTTGTGTGAGGCGAAAAGAAGGGCGGGCTATAGACTGCAGGATCAAGTCACTCTATGCTGGGTTCTGTTTTCTTGCGTCAGCGAAACGTCGAGATCAGGGATACACAGGGTGCGGTGTATGCACGCGACGACCAGAGCCGACAGGGAGTGAGAGGCAGCAACCCAGACAGGCTATAGCGGCGACGAACCAGCGTCATCTGCGGCGCGACTCGAACAATAGATTTGTTCGCTGCAGCGCGGACCAGCAGGAACACGGTCGATGAAAGCCCTTCCTGCGGGAGGGAGGTGCAGGAGGGGCGAGGAGACTCGCAAGTGAGACAATCCAGGTCGCTTTGCACCCAACCGCATGCATACCTCCAGCTGGCGGTCGGCTATGGTTGCCACCCGTGCATACAACCCGTTGGCTTTTGTTCACTCACATTCACAGGTTTCCAGAAAATCTCTCAAGGCAAGAATAAAAATAGATAGGCGGAGGAAGAAGCCCAAACACCAAGAATCAAAAGATCCAAAGTAATAGAGGAAGTCGAAGGACAGTTTGAGTAAAAGATTGAATGACGGGCAATTGCCAGTGGATGGATAGTGGTCTGTTCGCGGGCTGCGGTTTAAGGTAGGTTCGTCACCGATGATGGAAAATGGCGCCCGAACCAAGTCGACCCGAAGGGGGAGCCACCGAAATCGCAACACATGCAAGATTCGGCTACAGAGAAGGGAGGAGATTGGCGAACCCAGGAAATAGGGCGAATCTTAGGGCGTCATGGTGGGCCACGGACACGGCCAGGCGGAGACAGACACGGAAGAATAAAAGGTTGGTTGGTAGTAGATATAGGAAAGTGTGAACAATGAGAGAGTGTGGATGAGTTTGTATATGGGTGAGAGTGTGTGGAGAGTGTGTTAGTGTAAGAGAAGGAAACCAAAGAGAAAAGCAGAAGGGGAGGGGGGGGGGAAGAGAGAGAGAGAGAGAGAGAGAGCGAGAGCAAGAGGGAAGGGGAGGAAGAGAGAAAGAGAGATTGGAGCAGGCAGTGAAGGGACGGACAGGGTGGAGAGAGACAAGAGAGCCAGAGCAAGCCAAAGATCGATCGGGACCGACGAA